CATCTCCATTCTCCCTTCTCCTCGTCCCCACTCACCCTTACCCCCCCCCCCACCCCCCAATCGCTATCACTTCAAGTCGAGTCGGAAATTTTCACTCAAATGGCCAGGCTTAAGCGCGCTGCCTGGGACCCGTGGGGATTCCGACCCAGAGCAATTTCTACTGCTATTTCTACCGGCAGTCATAATTTACTGCATATTTTAGAATTACCTTAGACACGCACACGCACACGCACACGCACACGCACACGCACACACGCACGCACGCAAATGGAAGCATATTCACGTGTAGTACTTTATATATATATATACATATATATATATATATATATATATATATATATATATATATATATATATATATATATATATAATTTTGTACATGTTTATATATCTACATCTATATTTGTATTTATTTTCTTTCTTTTCTCTTTTTAATAACATTATTTATGGCCATATCTATACATCCATCAACATATACACCTCAAAAAAGGATGATAGAGAGGGAAAGGAAAGAAATAGAGGGGGAGAAGCAGCTAGATATAGATATGTAGTGTAAACTGTAGTCGCCTTTTGACTTTATGCAACTGATGGCTGCAAAGACCAATCAGCAATCTGGGTCAAACAAACCTTGATGAAAACATCATTTGCAGAATTATATTTTTAAAGTAGCGGTCATTAATTAGAAGTAATCTGGGTAATTTACATTTTAATTGGATTCTACATGAGAAGATACAAATATCATATAAAACACATATAGCTTTGATTGCAGCCTATTAATTTTTGCCAGCAAGCAAAATTCAACAAACATTAAAGCTGCATTTTTTCAGACTGTATCGTGTATATTGCAGACTGAATTGTTGCATTTCTACTAAACATATTTTCTATTGGTTACTTATTCAGTTTCTAAGTAAATGATAATGTATATGAAGAAGCAATGGACTTGGTGTTGGTGCTGGGCGGAGCTTAAAGCAGCAGTGTCATAGAATTTGGGAAGGATTACTTTAACAAGTCATGCAGGTACATGTAACGCAGATAGGATATTCTCTGTCTCTCTTTCTCTCTCTCTTTCTCTTTCTCTCTTTCTCTTTCTCTTTCTTTCTTTTTCTCTTTCTTTCTTTTTCTTTCTTTCTCTCTCTCTTTCTTTCTTTCTCTCTTTCTCTCTTTCACTCTTTCTCTCTTTCTTACTCTCTCTCTTTCTCTTTCTCTTTCTCTTTCTCTTTTTCTTTCTCATTTTCTCACTTTTTCTCTTTCTCTCTTTCTTTCTCTCTCTTTCTCTTACTTTCTTTCGTTTTCTCTCTTTCTTTCGTTTTTGCTCTTTCTTTCTTTCTCTCTCTTTCTTTCTTTCTTTCTTTCTTTCTCTCTCTTTCTTTCTTTCTTTCTCTCTCTTTCTCACTCTTTCTCTCTCTTTCTCACTCTTTCTCTCTCTCTTTCTCACTCTTTCTCTCTCTCTTTCTCTCACTCTCTCTCTCTCTCTCTCCCTCTCTCTCTCTCTCTCTCTCTCTCTCTCTCTCCAGGAAACCTTTCTTCTTCTCCTATTTCTTCTAATGTTTTTGTCATAGAGTGATCAATTTTTTTCTTTTTATTTCCAGAATTTGCTGCCAACTTTAATTCATGTGAAAGATGATAGAGGAGTAATGGAAGCAATCATCAAGTAAGTATTTTTTCATGATTTAATATTTTAAAAAAATTATTACATTTTCCCCCCTCTCTCATTTTATTATGGCATAAAATCATTAAAAAAAACCAGCTTATTACAATTTAAATCATAAATTTTCATTTTCATTGTCTTTTTTTTTCTTCTTTTTTTCATTCTTTTTTTTCATGTACTACAGTGTATAACTCTAGGGGACCCAAACCCACATTTCAGTATCACACCAATGATCGTCGGTCACCAGCTTTAAGGAAAATCACAAAAGAGCTTTTATTTGATGTAATAAATACATGTTTCTAGTATTAGTCTAATAGGCTAGCCATGCCTATCACATCTTCGCTATGTACTATACATGCCAAGGATCACAATTAGTTAACATCTCACCTAGAGAAATTAGTTTTCTGCTAAAAGAAAATTAATACCTGCATACTAGACTCATTCTAACAGAAATTGATATTAGAGTTACCACAGTTATTGCTTTTCAGAGACTTTACTGCTCAAAGAAATTGCCAAACATCCGTCAAAAGACTCTCTTCAACACGTTAGAAAATGCTATTCTTGGATGTGGCAAAATAAGAGAAAGACTGAAATAACATTTTCATGAAAGTTGAATCAAGATTGAATTCCCCAAAGAAATATTTTTTGCTGTTTTTTCGTTGCTTTGTAAAATAATCAGAAAGACAAATTTAGATTTTTTTTTTTTTTTTTTTTTGCTTTTATTGACAACAAAAGAATTGCCATCGTTATGAAAAAGATGGTAAAGGCAATTGCTTCTTTGACTCTGTGTATGTAAATTTTATATATAGATAGATTGATAGATAGATAGATAATATATATATATATATATAT